AATTTTTGTTTGTGGTATTAGTTACAAAATATAGAATTTTCTTTCTTTTTTTTTTTTAAATAATATATTTTTAAACTATATAAATGCGCTTCTCTATATACTTGAAGACATGCACAACATCTATACATATACAAGAGCTTTTCTATTTTTCTAAATAAATACGAAATGCATGCAAAAAATATTAGGAAGAAATAAAAAAAATATCAATGAAAACTTAAAAAACATTTCTTTTCTAAAAATCATTTGAATAATTATATGAAAGAGTAAATAAAAAAAAAAAAAAAGATATTTAATTAAAAATTATTAAAAAATATAGTTTTGATTATTAAAAACACTTGAGCCAAAATTAATTTTTCTTAAAAAAAAAAAAAAAAATGTTTAAAAAGATTATTAAAAAAAAACGAATCTTTTTCTTCAAACTTTTTAAAATATTTTTTTCAATTTATAACAAAAATTTTGAAAAAACAAAAAAAAAATTTCTTCGAAAGGTTGAAACAAATTTTTTCTTTATTTTTTCAATATTTTGTTTTTAATGTTTTTTAAAAAGATAGCCTGTGTTGCTAGTGCTCAATGTCTCTTTTTTTAGTCTAAGAATTCAATTCATTAGTCTAAAATTAAAATAATAATAATAATAATAAAAAGATTTTCAAAAAGACTGAAAAAAAATTTGTTTTTTTTCTAAGCAATCGGAATAGTTTAAAATTTTTTTTTGGAAAGAAAATTTTTCAAATTTGCTTTAAAACTTCTACATTAAATTTTTAGAAATGAAATAATGGAAAGATCAGGGATTATCTAATAAAAAAATCTCTGCTAATCGGTGTCTATTCAGAATTGTCCATTTGTTTTTGTTGTTTTGTGCCACCTTCGCTTTAGAACCTGTACCGATATCTAGATTTTTATCCAAATATTTCTTGGATAGGATGAATTGTCATTCATGCAGCTAAAGGAGAGGTTCTACGATTTTTGCATATTTTTTTAGTTCAAGAGGTGTTCTTTCGGCTTTTACCTCAATAAAAAAAAAAAACAAAGCACTCGTTACTTAATTAAGGAAAGAGAAAGTTTTTAAAAGTTGTGACCCCATCTTCGGTCTGTTTAAGTGAACTTAATAAGAGAAATATTCCCCTTAACTGGGGATTTTTTAGTGGGAATTGAAATTTCAAGAAGAAAAAAAAAAACAGCCCTTGTCACTAGCTTAGAAAAGAAAGCGCCCTCAAAAGTTGTGAAATTCTTAATGGAATATACTCCTTTGGCTTTATTCCTTCCTCTTGACTCTTCTTCCTCTTTGATTCTTTAATTTTGCAGATTTTTGTTTGATGCTAGCTGCACCCCAAGACAGACATGATCTTCTTCTTTTTCTGGAGTGGAATGTGGAGAAGAAATTTCTAAATAAATGGGGATTTTTCAGTGACAACTGAGAATTACTTTTTTTTGCTTTTGTCTTTCTCATGTTAACCGAGCCAAAACGGTGTCTTCGGTATCTCTTATTCTCGTAGGCAAAAATTTTATAAAAAATTTTTTAAAACATTTCCAATTTGTTTTAAATTTGTTCGAAATTATATTATAAAAATTTGTGAAAAATTTAAAATTGTTAACTAGTTTGAAAATAAATGTTTTTTAAAGCTTTTAAAATTTTTTATTTCTTTTATTTTTTTTTTTTTATTTTTTTTTTTTTTTGAAGACTCAAGCATATTGGTGTTCATTTAAACATGGCATTATATGCATGCATGAGATTACATTCATGCAACACATTTATCTAAATAATTAATACTAGATGAGTTGTTGTTGTTACTGTTGCTGTTGCTTTTATGTAAATTTTGATGGCTTCTCTTCATATAGGAATTAGTTTGTATTAAATTTCTAGCGGCCGGTCTCGGACTAAAGCTAGTGGAATAATTGCTATTAAGCATACTTTGACTTTGACTTTGATTATGATTATGATTATGATTATGATTTTGATTTTGACCATTAGCAGCAACATTGAAATATTGTTCATCATCAACTAAAGTGCCAGCACTACTACTACAATTGCCATTGTTTACCGATTGATTATTATTACTATTAGCATTTAATAAGTCATTGGAAGAATAGGAATTTTTATTTAACAATGAATTACCAAATTTGAGAGCAGAATCTTTGAAATTTCGCGGCATTGGTATACGATTCGCGGCATTCATTGTATATAAAACGTTATCTAAACTTGTATTAAATGAATTTAATTTAATATTTTCATCGTCTATGATTATTTGATTACTCGATACCGATGGTTGATGTATTGATGTGGTCTTATAACCCATAGCTGTTGTTGTAATGGGTGTTGTTACGTTGATGGAAACGTCACCAGTAATAGTACTAGTAGTAGTAGTAGTAGGAGTAGTAGTAGGAGTAGTAGTAGGGGTAGTAGTAGTAGTAGTAGTAGTAGTAGTAGTAATAGTAGTAGTAGTAGTGATAATATTATTATCATTTATTAGATTCAAGTTCGAATCGAATATAGTGGATTTTTGCAACAACTCATGATAGTAATATGGTGTGGTACGACGTTCGCTGGAGACAGCTCTATTAACATTATAACGTTTACCTCCCATAAACGGACCACTACCGTTATTACTACCATTATTTGTTGAATGATAACCCATTAAGTGGTTAGCGTTGTTATCGTTGAAGTTTAAAAGAATCGGTGCTCGGACTTCCGTCGTTGTAGGAGAAGCGGTTAAATTCGTAACATTTAGATCCGTTTTTGAATTCTTACATTCAATTTTGCTCATATGGGCGGTATTTAACAATAAATTTGGTTGAGAACCGCAATACTGTGATTCTCGACTCGAATCATTCGGATTTATCGTACGATCTGCGTTATTAGTTAACGAGAAATATCTATTCGGCGGTTCTAAACCGCTTGGCATAGAGGACGACGATTTGATAAGGGGTAAGATATGATAGGAGCTTAACGATTTTGGTAACTCATTATTGCGATTAACTAACTGTGGTGGTCGAGGTGGTATAAAATCTTCAACATTTGCATCGATTTGCTGCAATTGCTTAAATATACTACTGGTAGGCGGTGGCACTGAGTTAGATGCTGGTCTGCAACAAGGAAATTTACAAGGCTGTGCTATATAGGGTGGGAATATCAGTTCGGTAGGGGAATCGGGCAACTGTAAGTTGTATTTAAAAAAAAAAAAAACCAAAAAAAAAAACAAAACAAAAAGAAAAATTCTATTAAAGAAATTCCTATACAATAGGAAAGTGATTTGTTTGTTGTTACACTGTAGAAATTTAAGTTGCCTTAGCAGGCATGGGCAACCGTCTGCCCATAGGCTTCTTTTCAAATGTAAAAAACTGCATTTTGTTCGTAACAGTCATGCTACAAATGGTTTATATCTGCCTTTTTGAGAGCGGCTCATAACTTTTTTTTTTCTTTCTTTTTTTTGTGTTTATTAGGCCAAAATATGAGTCATTTATAGAAAGAAGGAAAATTGATGCACAATATCGCTTTTTTAATAATAGTTAAACCTTGTTCCAACCCTCGCCGTAATATGAATATTAACATTTTGGCCTCTTGATGGGATAAGTTGCCCACCCCTGCTTTAAAGTGTCACAAAATAAATAAACTTTAGTCGAAATTAGTTCATCCTCTTAATATCATATAGCAGTGATTTGCGTGAAGTCAGGCTTCGCAAGTAGTAGGATGGATGTACTGCTGTTGTAATTTGTCGAAGTCTTTTCAGAATAATAATCTATATAAAATTCCAAAGTCTAAGGATTAATTAGAGCGAAAAATTTAGCTTGGCTAAGTGATATAAAGACCTATATAAATTTTGTATATTAATTGAAAGGATCGAATTTGGAATATTCGGAAAAATCGGAATATTCGCTTGAAAAAGGATCTATATAGATTTTTAATAATTTTAATAGAAGAATGAAAATTTCAAGTCCGCATTTGATGATCATTATAATGATTAGTGCTTAACTTGACTCCAATTTATGGAGGGGAGGGAGGGATTAAAGAATCATGCCAACTGAAGAAATTCTTTCTTAAATGAAATATTATTTAAGTATTGCAAGTGCAACATGAATCATTAAAAATTGAATAGCTGGTGGGTGAACTGGTGGCAAAATCAAATTGCTTGGTGGTAAGCTTCTAAGTCCTCTTTTTTTTTTTTTTTTTTTCTTCTAATATAATAAACAAAACAATTTTAATAAGCCTTGCATTGTCAGTGGGTGTAGACTGTAGTTAGGAGAAATGTTAGGAATTGTTCTGCAACATAAATTGCACAACATCGATATTATTACATAGTGTGAAAGATCATTATTTATTTAAAAAAAAAAAAAAAAAAAAAAAATTAAAAAGAAGTGAGACATGCCATAATATTTTATACCTTCACCAGTTTGTTTGTTTGCTTTTTTTTTCTCTCTCTTTTAGTCTTTCGCTTAAACATAACATCTATATTCATGATACACGCACACTACATAAATTCTGAACCAAGTTGACTGAAGTTATATAAATTTTGATATAAATTGAAAAATTTGCGAACGGTTGCATATAAGCTTTTCAGTTTTGCGAATTGAGTAATTTTTTGTTTTTGTTTTTTTTTTTTGTTTTTAACTTACCTTTGATTCTGACATCCATACGGCACCGCTTTGCTGTAAGTCTATGGCATCTCTTAACTTTCGATACCAACTTTCCTCGTCGCTCAGGACAATTTGTGTGCTAAAGATGTGAGACCATACACGTTCCAGTTTCTGACATTGTTCCAGTAATTTTTTGGAGCTTTTATGAGCTGATTTTGGCATACCGTGACGTAATTGTTTGATAATATGTTTACTATCGGTTTTCAAGAATATGACAATCGGATAGAATTGAGCGTAATTTAAACGATCCACAGCGTTGGGGGTAATATCGAGTAGGGCATGTTTTCCGCGATCCATAACATCGCGTATATTCGAGAGACGTACTATGCGACACTTGGAATTGCTTTTGTCATCATCCTGCAGGGGCGTAGAGAATTTATCTGGAAAATCTTTGGCTAATTTCTCCCGAGCCAAATCTGAAATAGGACCAAATATAACCACAGGGCGAACAAAGCCGGGATGGCGCAACACAACACGCTCATAGGCGGGAAATTTCGAAATACTATCCGAGAAGACTACATCATCCCAGTTTTCACGTGATAAGCTTTTCGAACGTCGATGTGTGGATCTGAAATAATGTAAAAAATGTTGATAAAACATGTGACATTGTTGCTCTGAACTTAGGCATACTACCTTCTACGTCTAAAGAAATTGCCTCGCGATTCATTAGTATTCATTTCTTTCTTCGTGGCGTTAAATTGTGCGGTCGCCAATTCTTCGGCCCGGGATTTATTGGGTATAACTCCACGTTGCATTTCTTGATGGCCACGACCGATTTTCAATACCTGCCATGATCCTACCACGCCATTGTGCAAAGTATCAATCACTCGAAACACATCGCCCGCCTTAAAAGCCATTTCTCCTTTCGAGGGATTTTCACAATGAAAGTGAATCTTGATGTGAAACGAGTCACCTCTTTGATTGTTAACAACTTCATCGTATTCTTCTTTGCAGTATTGGACAATTAAATCTATGCGATCCTGTAGTGATAATAAAAATAATACGGCCTCCTCACGCGTTACACCGTGCATGTCCATATCGTTCACTTTTAGAATCTTATCACCCGGTGTCAGGCCTTGAAGGGACGCTGGCGATCCCGGCTGTACCGCAGTAACAAATATGCCCGCCTCGTTGCCACCCGTTAGACGTATACCCACGCTGCCTTCTTTTTGGAATGATATAAAACGCGGTTCGGCCGATTGGCGAGATCGAACCAAAGCTTCATCTTCGTACAATTGCCGCCGTGAACTATAAAAGTCTTCGGCATTGTTCGTTGAATTTCTTGGCGGTGGCGGCCGAGGAGGATCGTCTAAGCCACGTGCTCTTGAACTTGCCGCATTTGGGGGTGTTGACGGTCTATCCAATTGCTGCAAAACTATACCATCCATTATAGGGCCTCGTGATCGGCCACGAGGTGTTAAATTACTTTTTTCATCATTTAAACCGCTCGACGGGCCATTAAGTATCGATCTTGTGGGTGGTTGAACGTATAGATTTTGCGAGGAATAGCTCGCGCCACCATTCAAATACGGATCATCTAAATTATTGCTGCAATTCGATAACTGAGGCTGATGACTGCTACTGTTGTACATATTGGACTGATTATTCGAATTGTTCAACTGATTCGTGATGGCCGCTTGATTTGCAATGTCACGCAAAACAACCAAATTTAAACGTTCCTTACAGCCGTCAATTATTTTTTTCGCCTCTTTAAGGCTCATATTATCCCCGCAATTGGTATTATGTATACGAGTAATAATGTCCCCCTCTTGCAAAGTATAACCATTGGCAGCCAATTGATCGCGCGCCTTAGTTGAGATCTCTTTGATGAAGAGACGACATCCCAAGACAATGCCGTAATCATCTTTTTTATTATTTTTGGTAAGGGTAACCTTAATAGGCTGACTGTTGCCATTTGAAGTCTGAATCATTGACGAGTTTAAAGAGTTCGGTTGACTCATACTGCCAATATTTGCAGTGGTATTCATTAGGGAATTGGGGTTCGTTGCAGGCGGAGTGATCATTGAATTAAGACCTACAGCGCTTATGCTATGCTGCTGTTGATGATGATGATGCTGCTGTTGCTGTTGTTGTTGTTGTTGCTGCTGCTGGTGCTGTTGCTGTTGCTGATGACTGATGGCTTGTGGAATTGTGTTAAGAGGTACGCGACGTTTTACAACCAAAGTTACAGTATTACCGCTATCACGTAACACCTGAACAGCAGTAGCGTATTCGACGTTCTCCAACGAAACACCATTAACTGATATAATCCGATCATTAACTCTGTAAAACAATTAAAACAAATAATATTTCATGAATATTTGTGCTTAACTGCTAATTAATTTCATATAGTGTGCTTGACAAGACTTGAGAAAGTCGAAACACTTTCGACTTCAAATGTCAGGATATTATTTTTCAATTATTTATCTTCTTCTTACGGCACTTGAAGAGAATCCCTCTCTTTACTCACCTCTCTCTCCCTAATCTCTCCCTCACTCACTGCTTTTATTACAGTTTATCTGACATATTTATTTAAAGAGATTTCTCATTGGTATGCATGTTCTGCACGAAAAACAAATTCGGAAAAGAACAAAAAAAACTCTTTCAAATAAGAGAAGAAAGGAAATGAAAGAAATCTTATCTTATAAAAAGAATCGCAAAAGATATTTACTTTTATTGTATATGATATATATATATACATGTACAGCAATAGTAAAAATGTATGCATATGTAGGTGCGAACACACACGCACGCACGCACAAATGCACATGCATTTAACAGTGTTTATCGAAAAAGACTTCAAGTTAAGCAAAACAGAGTTCGGCTCTTAAAGAAAATGTAATAAAAATAAATCATCTTATGCGGGTTTGTAATCCTTACACACGACCTTGTGGTATTTATATTTATATATGTATATATATCATTGTTCCTCCTATGCTATATGCTATATATATATTATATATATATATACATATGTATACATATGCATAGATATATGTCTGTGCAAGAACAGAGAGCATAGAAGGAAACAGGGATAGAAATTTCCTTTTAGTACATGTGCATCGAAATTTAAGAAAGAAAAAAAAAAAAAAAGTTTAAAAATAAACAAAAGCAATATATAGTACTTGAAATAAATTTCCGGGTGCGGTCATAATCTTCTTCCCTTCTCCTCAACTTAATGCCTAACATAAACATATTTGTGTCGCAAGCAAAGGGAGAGATAATGTTTACAATTTGAAATTTAAACAAGAAATAAAACTATGTTCATCTTGGAACTATTATTGGATATTCATTCATCTTTTATTTAAGTTAATACGAGTGCGAGGTGCGTTCAAAAGAAAATGGTGAATTTTCAATTTTCTCGAAAAATATCCATTTACTTAACAAATCTCTTATATCTCCTTCAAAATGATCCAGTGCTGTTTTCAATCCTCTGAGCACTTCCTATAAGAGCCTTTTGATATGGCCTCGAGTTCTTACGGGGATGCGGAACCACGCAAGCTCCTCGCTTTCATGAATCTTTGCAGTTTTGAGAACAGGAAAAAGTCGCAGGCACGGCTGAGTACACAAGCAGTGACCTGAGAGGCAACGCATTATCGCATTGCAATATTCATGATTGATTGTTTCAAGGTAATATATTCCTTGTCGAACGATTAATTCAGTTAGTGAACTCGCCCGTCATTATAAGATTTACCGGAAATGGTTTGCGGATCTGTATTAAAGCTTTTTGCGATCTCTGGGGTTACCGGAAAAGGATCTTGCTTAGCAACATCGTCATCGATCAAAGACGGTCGCGCAGAACGTGGCTTATCGGAAAGGTCGAAACCGCCTGTTTAATATTTTTCGACCCAACTTCTGCATGTCCTTTCAGAAACGGTACCTAAACTGCTTCTGTAGTATTTCTTCCTTGTTGAAATTCGTGGAAAATGCAGTGGCGTAAAGTGGCCATGCGTTCGCGATCGCTTCGCAGTTAAGACTATCGTGAATCAACTTTGTTTTCATTAATTTTCTACATCGATATGTGTATATTAAGCGATAAAAATAGAGAGCTGAACATGGGCCAAACAAGCACTCACTGCTTACATGTTGAAAATTGTTGTCAGAACTTTCCGGTAGACCTTATACGTTCTCCCCCATTAAGGATTAATGATTTTGCTTCTTTTCTAAGCTATTGCTTTAAAGTTAATCTTTTAGTTTAAGATTTTAACACTCAATGAACATTTTGGTCTACTGTCCAGTCAAGAAATGCGTCTACCAAGTCCCTGCAATTCCCCTTACCGTAGATTATGCATTAATTACGATTGGTATGTGCTCGCAGCTACACGGAATACAGCTCCCATGCCGCGGTCACACTCTACTTCTCTACTCCCCGCCTCTTTCTAATCATCACGTTACACGAATAAAGGACATCTTCGAAGTAATGCGATATAAGGAAAGAAAAACTGTGACTTGCATAAAGGCGAGCGAGAACACTACACTAACTTTTTACAGTTTTATTCAAAGATTTATTCATAAGACGGAACAAATTCCTATTGATCGTTGCTAGAACGAAGAGGTCTGCAAAAATTCAGATTGAAAATATAAGCTAGGAAATCAAATACAATATAATATGTTTGTAACTGGGTATTGAACTGCCTAAGAATATTTTGCTAATAATAAAAGAGGCTTTGAGAAAGCTTTTCAATATGAAGAATTCATAAGAAGAAGAAGAATTCAATATAAGAATTCAATCATAAGCATTGACGGACGGAAACCTTGAATCTTCACAAGCTAATCACGAAAATTTGCTTGCATTTTGATAAGATTTCGATTGGGAGGGAATTGTTTAATACCCCGAGTTGAATTGCTGAACGTGCAGCAGACCGATTAATAGAAAGTCATCTATGAGAGCGACAACAGGCAGCCGTCTGTGAAAGTCCAAGTTCTTATCTGTGTATGCAACCAGACCTAACATTGCTTTCGCGTACGAAAAAGCATGGAAGGTACACATAGCGAACATGCGGTGCCCTTCTCCTCTGCTCTTCAAATTCTAGATATATTTTTATAAAGTGATGGATTTTTCATTACAGCACATATGACTTTTTGTTCGCACTACGCCTAACCGTGAAATATATGAATTTTTAATTAACAAGAATAACTGTTGCTTTACATCCGACACACAGTCAATTTTATTGCGCACAAAAATTAATTTCAATTCACTAAATTCAAAAAATTCCCTTGCGACTTTATGGCACGTTATGGAACGCAAATTAACGTCGCTGACTTCTTGACCTACTACGAGTGCGTGTACTGTTGCGCTTGCTCGAAAACTTAGTTGGGGAGACCCTTCTTCGTTTGATTGGTTTGTGGCATTGTTCGCACCTCAACTCTTGACAACTTTTACTCGAATAGGTGGGTGGAGACGGGCGTTTGGATGAGGATGGGAATAATTGGAGTACGGAATCTTCATTGCTTGGCGACCAGGGTTGTGATTTCCTCGTTTTGGATTTATTTTCTTCTTCTTTCTTGGCTTTTTCTTCAGAAGCTGTTGCTTCTTCCGGATCATCGTAAAGATGCTCATTATTGACGTCATCAAAAGCGCAACTTGCTACGGCATAAAGATCGTCACCGACTTTATCGATATAACCGTAGCGCACAGCGGCTTCTAAAGCCTTTTTAAGTTCCTTCAAATAAAAAGTCCAAGCTGTTGGACAACCGAAGCACATATATGTAATAATGCTTTCTAAGCTCGCCGGTTGTATCATATCGTTTAAGGCGTCTAACAAGAATTTACCCTTAATTAGGGGAGGCGAGGAAGAGAACGAATGATTTCCTTCGATGCATTCATCGTTTTGATTTTTTCCCTCATTGACACGACACTTGGAGGACTTTATCTCTTCTGCCAAATTATTTAAATCTATATCGTCGTCGTCATCTTGATTGACTTTCCCTAGTTTATCGTTAGTGTTTATTCCGTATACAGCGTAAAAATCATTATCAGTTTTATGCAGGTAACCGTAATGTACGCCAATATCCAAAGCGCTCTTGACCTCCTTTCCAAAATAATTCCATATTCCTGGACAACAGTAACCCATGTAATCTACAATGTCGTGCAGCGATGCCGGTTGTTGCATATCATTTAGAGCGTCTAGCAAGAATTTACCTTTAATCAATGCCATTTTGCAGCACACGATGTCAAACTAAAAATTTCGAAATTTTTCCTTATGTTGTTTGCTATTTTTTCCAATAGAGAAAAATAACTTTTCTCCAAATTTATCAGAATTTTTTTTTTTTTAAATCGTTTATGATAACAAAGGCAATGAATTGTTTTAAAAATTCTTTCTATTATTTCCTTTAACCTTTTCAAAATAATTTACGGCAAGTGTTTAAGGGGTAACGAGACTAGTTAGTATCAGATCTAATGCAATAAGGATACCATCTTAAGGTGTATTTAAATTTCGGATTAATATAAGTTTGTGAATACATTTTGCGTCGTTCGTTAATAGTTCGGTTTTGCGTAGAGGAAACCCTACATCCAAATTTTGGATTACGGGTTCGCTATAGTAGCAGTAGTAAAAGGTTTGTGCAATTGAATGGAAATGTCACATAATCAAGAACGCTTTAGTTAGTTTAGACTTAATAAGATCATCGACTCATTTTCCTAATAAAACCTAATGGAGGTTGTAAGCTCATGAATTTCTATGTGACTTTATCGAAATTGTGATTTTTCTTTTAACGCGAACACGTGATTTTAACCGAAATTACGTAACCATTGCCGAAACCATTGATGTAAAGTTTGTTATCCGCTTTTGTCTTTGCCTACTTATGAAATTGGACTGCTTTTCCTGGCCTTATCCTCATCAGAAAAACGCACATTCTGTCTCCTTCCTCTCTGATACTTGGTGTTCCCTTTCCAGTATTAGTTGGGATAAACGTCAAAGTTGCTAATTGTTATTTTTTTTGGAAGTTTTATCTTCATAAAACTCAGTCAATGTCGAGCATGACAATGCATTTAGGTTACTTGCAAAAATCTTGATAACGTCTACAACTTTATCCCAATATCAGATTCTTTAAACCCTATTAAAGTTACTCTCTAGATTGAGCTAAATATATTTGCAATACTTCGTTGCCCCGGTTCTGCATGTTTGTAATGGTTTAGGGGTTCTGTCCCAATTCGGATCTTATACACCGGATGGAAGTATGCCTCTATACTAGGTGTGTGTGTTTTTCTTCTTTTTCCTCTTGGTTATTGACCCATGAAATGGCTTTGAACGCAAAGACTTTACGTCAATTTTTTAATGATAGCCAATGATCAAGTGTATTGAAAATAAAAGCAAGAGAAAAATTGGTGATTGAATCTTCTAGCACCGCGTAAAAATCTTTTGAGAAAGGTGATATGAGTTGTCTTCTCTCTTGGTAACTAGCATAGCGACATGTTCCTTGTCTCCCACACCAGAAATTTATTTATATGCCACCGATTTGGTAACTAAATAAGGGGGACGTAGGAAATAGTGTTCATCTCAATATGCGATTTAACATTATGACCTTGATTGTGATCTGTAACAACGACTATCAAACTCACTTTGCTGTCTTGTAAATGCCGTTAGAACTTTATGGTTCAGATTTTTCACAATGAGACCAAGACTCGCTAGATAACTGAGAATTACACATTGACACCTGACTATTTCTTTTTGGCTGAGATTTTCACATCGGGAGGTAGATCTTTGTTACATAAAGAGGTGAAAAAATTTAGGTTCAATTTTAAAATGGTCTCAAGGATTATGGTCCATGACAATGGCAAAGAGAGAGTTACGGTTTTTGACTAAATGATTCTTGGTAGAAAAGGAATCGGTATTAGGCTAGGGTCATGTTAGTATTTGGCTTAAAATAAAAGTATTCTCACTTCGATCAGTAAAGTTAAACTAAACTAGATTTAAGGAAAGCTTTAAAGCCAAGAAATTCGGTCAAATAAAGACGATTATCAGAGTCGTATTGTATTCCGTTGGCAAGGGATGTGACATAAGAATCTGATTTTTAATAAACCCCCACAAGTCATGAGCACATCTTTGTGGCAAAACCCAATGCTTCCGCATGAATAATAAAGTAATGCTCCATCGATTGCTTACGGCGAAGAACATCGATAAACTTGTTGGTATAGAGCCTTGCTTAATATAGTTGGAAGCTTCTGTGGCCCTAAATGGAGGACAATTTTTTAAAGATCAGCCTTTCATTCCAAAGAAACGGAACGATTACCAGTCGAAAGATTTTTTTTTTTTTAGTTCTTCGAATGCGATAGCTTTCTTCATAGGCGGACAAATAAGAAGGGAATAGAAAAGGAATACGCTTTCATGATTTTTACACATTAAAATAATTAAAAATTAAAACTAGGAGAGGAGGTTTATATGTGCACTTACTGTAAACGATCTTCTGCGGGACCACCTTTCAAAACATCTGACACAGCTATAGAAGGATCACCATTGGCAAAATGAGGATTATCACGTCCACCGGAAACGGCTATACCAAAACCATACCCCGGTACACGCGTTACAGACACTGTATGATATTCCCACGTTGTACGATCACCCTGCAACAGGAAAAAATATTTTCAAATTAATAATTATATGATAGAGGAATGAATTGCTATGTGTGGTAAGGAAATGAACATTTAATAAACATAAATATTTCTCTTTAACATTTCATTGCGATTGAAGTAACAACAACAATCACCGGAAGCGTTTTAATTGATCACGTTATTGTCTAAATCAGCCGTCTGCAATCCGTGACTTATAAGGCTTAGACGTGCAATGCCTCTCGTCTTTCCCAAATGTGAAACGTTACACATAAGAATATTGTGTAATTGCGAGACTTTGCCTTTAACATGAAAGTAGGAAATTGAACGCAACGTTATCTTAAATATGTACTTGCGCATTTAAGAACTAAAACCAATTTAATGTTAACTTTTTTAAATTTATTTATTATTCCAAATGTATTGCATCGCCTGCAAAGTAATTCCGCTCAAACACTATGCACTTATGCTAATGTTTCTTCCAATCCTCGTAATAGTTATTATTGTTGATTTCCGGAGTGGCCTTCAAAGCTCTCTGCGATTCAGCTTGTATCTCTTCAATCACTGTATATAAATATATATACAATACAATAAATTGTACGGACGCCTTAACCATATTAATGTAAGTAGGGAAAAGTTTGAGAGCCACCAGGTGAAATTTACACGAGTATCGATTAAAAGTTTTTGAAAAAAGTAGATTTTGTGTATACGCAATCGTCTGAAGGTCACGAAATTTGGAGAAGACTGACTGAAATTTTTACGAAATACATTTAATATAACAATAAATCGTTAATAGAAAGTTGGAGCTTACAATGCAAAGTGACACCTTGCTTTCAGACCGAAAGATGGAAAGTTTCGGCATCACTGAGTGACGTATATATGAAATAAAAGAGTTGCAAAAGCAAAATTTGTATTAAAACCGAGACAACGAATTATTTTGCAATAGTTTTGGTTAAAAGTGCTGGTCAAATATTTTCAAATATAGACAAGACGAACGGGCACGCGTGCGCACATTTTTTACGTGCCAAGATATAAAATAAACGAAGACCAAAAGTTAGATAGCATCTGAACGGCAACGGACGCTGCGAAGATATACCCAAGTGTGTGTGCCACAGAGCATAGGCGATTTTTAGCGACCTATAGTTCTTCATAGGATTCGAAATAGGAGCACAAGTTATTTTTAGCGGGTTATAGTATGTGCGAAGATGGGGAATAGGAGCATAGGTGATTGTAATCTGCCACTAGAAACAACGATGGGTTTCAACACACACGCACTCACAAATGCCCAGGTACATAAATGATATTGAAAATTGATCTCTGCCTTCTCTATCCCATTGTCTTTTGGTAAGAGAAGATTGCTCTAATTAACATATCTCGAAAGGAAGAATAAATACAATGTTCCGGATCATTTTATTCAGGTAATATTTCGTTACGAGTTTTATATCGCCGCCATTATTAAAAAAAAAAATAATAATAATTAGAAAAATTCTTTTAATACCTGAAAAATATGTCATACTTTAAACACCTGTAGAGTTTTATGTCTGCAATCTTTAAGGTGCGCTTTAGGTCTCTTTACATAAATTTGTTAATTTGCAATAAATTGTTTTCAAACGATTTCAATGATTCATTAAATTTAAAGCAAAAAAAAAACAGCTAATCCCACGAATAAACAAAATTTAACAAAAAAAAAAAAAAAAAAAACCGGAAAATTTGAGTTTTCATGCCTTCGTTAATACATAGACAAGTGATAGATAGAATTGAATATTGCGCCAACGGAAAGGCATGAATCTGCGAACTTGATAGCAAAACATTAACTTTAAATTTAAAGCGACTCAGAAATCTTCAAAAGAACAAAATGTATCAGTAACGGAGGAAAAAGTTTTAATATCATAAGAGAATTCTTGAGAAGAGCACTTGCCACTTCTGCTTGGTTTCAAAGTAAAGTTTTCATAGTAGAGCAGAATATTTTCCAATACGCCTTACTTGATCGATTGAGAGTACTGGGTTAAAAGCAGAGTGCGATCTGTTCACAGTCACGCCCACAATGCAAAGGAGTTTAAAACAACCAAAGATAACTTTCAATTCTATAAACATATTTTCGAAAACGTTTAACTCAGATATTCATTGGGCCAAAAATAGTTCCGATTAGTTTTCTAAGGCGTCCACAATCACAATAATATCCCATCCGATGTAAGTTCAAATAAACGAGAAATACATTGGAAATAAGTTGAATGTAATTAAAATTTTATTGATTGGAATTATTTTTGCATCGAATATGCAGATAGTTCTGGCGAATACTTGGATAACACTTTTTCTAAATTATATTCGTAGGATCGAAAAACAGAGATGAAAGTATGAAAATATAATTGGCTTTTACCATGATTGATTTATGGTAGGCAGATCGCAATCCTTTCCCCAAATTTCAGCTTCTTATTCTCATTTTTACGACTGGGCCAAGTCGATAGCGATAAGGAATTAAAATCACTCCTTTTGATAGAATTAGGTATCAAACCAAACACCGGCTATTCTAGGGTTAAGGTCTGCCGAGTATTACTGTTCTACTGGATGAGAGGTATATTCACTTTGTCAAAACGTATGCAACACTCCACAAGCAGGAAGCTTCAGAGAACCAACGAAGTCTGTATATTCTTGATCAGCATCAAATTCTGAATCGTTTTAAGTATGTGCGTCCGCCCGTCTATATGTTATGTCCATTGCAAACATTCGTAAAAATGAAGCCAACTGAGAATATCTCTTTTTTTTCAAAACGCACAAAAAATTGTTTTTTTTGGTTATTTTTATAGCTGAACTTAAACTTGTGTGTTATATAGGTTAGAGTGTATCAAAAATTAATTTTTTTTTTTTCAAAACTTTTATACCGCGCAGAAGAAAGCCTTAGAAACTCTAAAGAATATGTATAAAATGTCCGTCTGTCCATCCGTCCATCTTCTCCCGTTCGCAAAAACGAAAGATATCGCCTACAATTTTGCAAAAAAATTTAAAAGCGACCTAAGCTTTTCCACTTTTATTTTAAAAATAGAAAAAAGGTTAGTCGCGCCCACTCCATATTGTAGAGCATGAAAGTTTAGTTCTTTGACCTTTTTTGCGTTTTTTAGGATAAAGGTGATGGGTATAAAAGATTCGACCATGATCGAATATAATTTTTTTATCTGTTTTTATGTCAAACTATTATTTATCTATCATGAGATATTAAAAATTAGAACTTTCTGCCATACAAAGGTCTGCCAATTGCAGGAAGTGTTATATATGAGGAGGTTAAAAAATTGATTCCAAGTTCTTCACATAAACTTTGTACCCAGAAATATTAGTATTTGAAGCAATGGCTGTCGGTAAATTTTAAGTTTCATTTTTTTTAATAAAGTTCATAATAATAAAAGAAAAAGGGGCCAGTCCAAACCAGATTCAGTAAATTTCACCCACATCGTTAACACAACGAGTTTTGTTAAAATATCTAAAAAAATGCGAATGCTAAGCTGAATGTGAAGTTACATGGATAGATGTCAGATGGACGGACATATTTAGCTCGATTCAAAAATAATTCTCAATTGATTGCTATAATAAAATGTGAATCTTTTGCATGTTAAAGACATTCGCACTAATTTAGCATACTCTGTACTAAAAGTGATGTAAGATATGATATCCGTAATGGACTTGTTTACCTACCAATTAAAAGTGAATTGGTGGCGAAAGGGAAAAACCATGTTTACTATCTCCGATCTAGAAAGTTGGATTGAAAATATCTTTCCTTCAGAAACCTTTGCAAGATATTACACTTTTTTAGTAAAGATTTATACCTGGATCATAATAGTGAAGCAAATCAATATCAATTTTTACTATAAAAAAAAAAAAAAGAACGCCCACACCACTTTATTCGTTTAAGACATTAAAGTCGAATAACAAACGAAACGAAAAACTGTGCACACTTTGTGCCATGCCATGGCATGCCATGCCATGCTTTTACAAAGCAATCAGGTGGAGTCTTTAAATAGAATCAACTTTTGCTTCTATAGAGTCGTACGTAGAGCAACTGTAATCAAGATGTTGAAACACGATTTCATAAAAACTAAAATAATTTATTTAAGTTGTAAATAAATGAGTTCTTTTTTTTTTCTTTTTTTTTTTTTTGCCATTCAATACATATTAAAGTAAACGTTTAGCTGGCAATTAATTAAGAAATAATTTGAAAAAAAAAAAAATAAATAAATAGAGACTGGTTTTTTCTTCACGCTTGCTTTTCATATATATTTATTACGTGGAAAAAAGGTGAGAATATTTATTTCTCAAGGCAAAAAATAATTTTACTAATTTTAGTTTAGCTGAAAAATTTTGATTCATTTTACAAAGCTCAAGGATGTAGCCTCGTTCGACTACCATTTGCTTCATGCCTTCCGCAGAATCCTTTTGCACTCGAGAAATCGTAGAAGAGAAAATGCCTTAACCTTACATTACCCTACACTTATCCATGTATCGACTTTTCACAATAAGGCACTGTAGGGGATCTAATCCGAAACATTTTCTATTGGGTGAAAACATGTCATTCTATCAAGGTTTATCAAAATATATCAAAAATGGCGGCCTGTACACAAGAAAACAAAAAGGACAGACGGACAGACAAGCTTGGGAAAGTAAGCTTAAGAAAATCTGGGCCTATCCCAATTTACTCTGGGCACTGCATACATGCGCATAAATTTAATATATCCTTGTACCATAAATGATGTGGGGTTTAAAAGTGCTTTTCCGGATTGATTGTCCTAAAAGTAATAAACAAAAAAAAAAATTGTACAAAAAAGCAAATAAGAGTGCGAAGGGATGCGGAATTATATATAAAATGAAGTATTTTTCGATTTCTTTGCATAACTCAGATAAGTTTGAGAAAAGAAGTATAATAAAAATAATGTAAAAATCATATTTATAATCCTTACCACAATCATGTTATTCGGCACATAATCCGGGAATTTCATCTCACTTCTATTTAAAGAATAAATTTAATCTCTTTTTTTTTTTATCTTTAATTGAAAAGCGCATGCGCTACGGCGCTCTGCTTTAAACGTAAACTGTTATTCACTAATTTTGTATTCACTTTTTTTTGTTTCTTTTGAGAGAAGGAGAAAACACTTTAATTAAAATCAATTTCTTTTGTTATTGAAAAACGGTTAATGAATATTTAAATTTATTTTTATACAAAAATAAAAATGAAAAAAGTAAACATACATAATAGCACGTCTTGCCGCACAACAGTCGCTTTGATTGTTAAATATTTATTTCAGTTTTCAAATTGTATTCTTAGCCGGTGTCATAAGGTTACAGCAACTTTCTCGTATTGTTCGCTATGTTTAAAAATTTTGATATTAAGATGAGCCAGAATACATATAAGAAATTTAAAAACAATTAAAAGCGCTATAGTTAATCAGTGCCCATCGTTACATTTACTCATATAACAACTTGTCGAATTAAGGCATAATAGGGAAAGTAAGTGGTCAGAAAAGTGGTCCTCCTTCACTCCATTCCAACTCCTTCAAAATATCTGAAAAATTGTGGCCTATACACAAGAAAAGAAAAAGGACAGACGGCCAGACGACAAGCTTAACGAAGCAAGTTTAAGAAAATATGATTCTTCACTGTGTTGCACACATCCGCACAAATCTTCTATAACTGGGTGTCAGAAATGGTGTAGGGCACAAACCATCGTAATCCTGATGACGATGGTTTCGAAGGACTGTGTTCTTATTCTTATTACATTCTTATTCTAGGTTCTTTCGTGGACGCTTGTAAGGTGAGTTACTCTTTGTGATTGCATTAGTTTTTGTTTTTTTACTGCCCCTTTCCGATCATCCTGAACTCTAAATTGAAGTTACACTCGCATGCAAGATTATTTTTAATAACTTGATACGAACAAACGAGGACCCGTCTTTAACTGTACACTATTTACTAATCTTTCTTCATGCTTTCAAAAGTTTTCAATTGCTGATTTCCTCCGTTCCAATTCAAAGTCCAAGAAAGACAATATTAATTGTTTATATAACAATGGATATAATGTTTTGTTTATTTAATTGGAAATAAATAAACATTATTACCTTATCCACCGGTTTTTTAATATGATGTCATTTTATAATAATTAGCAAATGTTAAATAATGTAAATAACCCAAGGTCGTTCAAATTGCTACTGAAAGGAAATATTTTTGCTTTACTCTACAATAACAAATATATTTGTAATTTTCGGCAAATATGGTTAAGTAAGTAGTAGTAAACAATTGACGGTAAAATCAAATTTACTTTGCTGAAAATGTAACGTTGCAAGTTAAGAGTGTGGTTAGAGTGTTAATCTATGTATAGTTACAGCACGTTCAAACCATTATTATTATTACGCATGTAGCTCTATTGTAAGGTTTCAATGTTAACAGGACGATGCAAACATCGGGCGGATCGGAATGAAGGAAACGACTTTCAAAGGAATTGATTAAAGATTTCTTGTCTCCTTCAAGAATGTATGTCCCCAACTTAAAATGAGGAAAAAGAAGAGACTAATGTGGTGTTTTTTTTCGCTTTGGGGTCAGCAGCGATCTAGAGGATGTCTCCTACACCTGCACTCATAACGTTGATCACGATGGATAAGAGTTCATATTAAGATCGAATGGGAAAATCTTAAGAGGAAAAGACATTTGAAATGAAATAATGATTTTACGATTGTATTTCGCTCCCTTTATCAAGCCGAAAATTACACAAAGTGAGTGCCGAAATTTCTAACTGGCGAGTGAAGGAAACAAGTACAAGGAAAGGAAACCCTCAAGTGATTTTGCAACAAGTAACGCACTGAATGGAATGATTTATTGGGCGATCTATAAAACTGTCGATGAGACTTGGGATCGTTATGAAAATTCGCGGCCGAAGTCAACAATTGTCCCGAATTCGAGCGAACTCTTACAACATTCAAAAACATTACGGCTGCTGTGTCGTCAAATAAGGCTGGAATTGTGAATTTAGACATATTGAAGACACAATCTATTACCAAAGGGCAAAGGTCTTACGAATTTTTGGATCACAATAATTGGAGAAAACAAAACTGTTTCATTGATTTTCCTTTGACCTCTACCAAGTAAACATAAATTTTTTCTGCGTACTTATACATAACTTTTGTGGGAAGGAACATATAATCAAGTTAAAGCAAAGCCTTTTATTACATGTGCTAACACAACACGGGGACGGACAATTTAACATATATTTAGGGTAAGGATCATATATCAATCCGAAATTGCATTGATAGTATTTTTATACAAGATTAGGTACCGATCATATTTTTTAAAGGAGACAAACAGAGCCTACTAACGAATAATGTCAAAAGAACATCAATGTTAGAGTCGGTCCACACAATTAAACCTAACTAAAGTATAAAAGTGTGCATTAATTTGACTGTAAACCGCACTGTACTATGAACTACGGATGGATAAACATTGATTGTTGTTTTCACATACAGTTGAACACCAAACAATCTGTCGTCTGTGTTGTTTCGTGTTTTCATTGTTACTATCTCCTGCGGGATAACTATGACTCTAGTACCAATCATGTCGAGACAACTATTCTCTTCAAATGCAAGAAGGAAAGAAAGCAAAAAATAATTCATTTAGACTTGGACGGACGAGTGACAAACACTTCAGCTTTTAGTATCCTCCCTTTCATTCGAAAACATGGCCATTTAAGTGAAAGATTTGCGGAAAATTATGCAAAAAGGAAATGTAGGACAGAGATGGCAAGCGAGAATATTGTGAAGAAATACGCAACGAGTCAATAATTATTCGAAAGCATATCGCTCTTTATCTTGGATTATCTATCTTTTGAACGTATGTATCCTCTCCTATCAACTCTGGTCAATCTCTGTCATCATGGCAAAACAATCTTAGCTTTATGTAAAGCCCATTCCCTAATTTGTTTTTGCATTAATTGGATTCCATTGTAATCAAATAGTATTTGATCTCTCTTCGGAATAATTTCATATTATTCCGCATGCTATAGTGTCTCGATCTGAATTGTTATTGCGATTCACAAAAGATTGATTACTTGCGCGTACACAGATAGATGCTCGTTCACGTAGATGATGTGTACGTGAATGTGGCCAAAAGATTTGATGAATGAATGGAAATTTATTGTTTACGCACAATAGTATAATAATAATATATCGGCACAACCTATCCCCATCATCTCTGCTTGCGAATGCAATATAAATGTCTGCTATTTTCAAAATGCTTTCGATGCGGTCTACATACAGATATATATATATGCTATGATTGTATTTTCCTCTTTTCATTTCATTTCTGCTATAAATAAGTTATCATCCAGTAAGTATGCAAATGTTACACATGTTTAAGCATGAAATGTAAATGAAATTTTCATATCTGATGAAAATTGAATCTTTTTTTCTTCTTTTTCATCATTTTTTTTTTTTTTACTTTTTTTTTATATATATATATCTTCTTCTCTCTTGTTTAAGTAAACAAGACAACAATAACACTTTGAAAAGTGAAAATGGTCTTAAGCGAATTATATAGATCTGTGCATAGTCTTAACGTAGAGTATGTAGTATTTTAGCATTGTTATGATTTCTACTGACTTTCAGTTACGCTAGAGTGGTTTTGCTTTTTATTTTTGCATTTTTTTTTTTTATTCTTTTAACACAAGCATTTGTTTAAGAAAAAGAGCTAAAGAATAACTTTAGATAACTGCTAGGTATTAAATTTATGTTGATTTTTCTGGGTTATTTTTTTCTATTTATTTTATAATTTTTTTTTTTTTTTATTTACATGCAGCACAATGTAGAGAGTAGAGTAAAATAGCAAGAAAAGAATATTTATAATAATGTTTTTTAGGTAGGCCCGCGCGAGACCACAACCAATAGTGGAGCTAGCGTAACTAATGTCTTTAATTCGATGTTGCCTTAACAAACAAACAAACAAACACGATTTTTTTATGTATATTTAATTTTATTTTTCTTAATTTTTTTCTAAACGAGTGCCCATGAGTTCGAAAAATAAAATTAAAAAGAAAAAATTTCAACATAAATAATGCGTAACTTTTTTATGTAAAATTTTTTAAAATACACGCACACCGTCTTCTTTTTACATTTTCTAAGGTAATATTATTCATTTCCATTCGTAAAGTAATCCCGCACGAATTATCTATACACTACTAAACAGTTTAAAACACGTTTACTAACTAATGTCTAGTTTAGCCGACAGAAACATTTAAACCCTCACTTACGAAGAAAAATAATTTAAAAAAAAAAAACGAAAAAAAATGACGGGCAAAGAGAGAAAATTCTAAATTATCTCACTAAAATATGCTATAAGAACTCGAGAGACCGCATAAGAGCGAACGTATCAGTAGAGTAACTGAGAGATAAACAAAAAAAAAAACGCTTATGGTTAGCAAGAAAAAAAAAAAAGATAAACAAATGAAGTTACAGATAAAACTATATCAGCAGTTCTTAAATCGTAACGTAGCGTAACCTATTGCAAGTTAATATGATATACATTTTTACAAGGGCCGCAGACGACTATCACGCTTGCAAGTACATATATCTGAAGTCCTGTAAAATATAGGGAGGAAGCTCTTAAACAACTTTATATCTTAAAGCGTTGTGCATACACAAATTGCGGGTCATTGGACTAACGAGGGCACGCATACATAATAATACTTTCAAAGCTCGCCGGTTATGTCATAACGTTTAAAGTATCCAGCAGCAATTTATGGGGACGAAAAGAGAGAATGGGAGATACGCTCCAATGCAGGTTATATTATACTGCGGCGCGGTTTTAACGTTTCAGCATTTTTATCTCTTCTTTCAGCAAAACTTTATTCTTCTTCATCAACTTGAGTGCTTTTCTCAAGTTTAGCATTATCATTATCGACTTTATGCCTAGTGCAGTCTGGCTTCCAAAATATTTTCGGACGGGTTTTTAATCCATCTAGGCAGAAGATCTCGACTAACAACTTGATTGTCCTGAGTTCAAATCTCAAGAGCGGTATAGAGCAAGTCACTTTAGACATTAAACTTAGAATCGATGTCTCTGTCTAATTGTAATAGTAATGATCAAATCTTTTTCAAGATGTAAAGATGAGTTGTCTCCATTTGATCCCTTACTTAAGGGATAATATGCACAAAAATTATGCGTCAGTTCCTCGAATTTTCTTATGAAAGGAAATTAAAGGCTTTGGAATCTATTTTTAAGCATTTTTGTGTAACAAATGAATTTTTTTTCTTAAATCCTTCCCGTCGTGCAGCTTTCACCGAAAAATCTACTTTATCGCGGGACTTCCCTTTGCGTCTTGCAATCTAGGTAATAGAAACAAAAATCAAAAGGAAAGAGTCCTTGGAATATCTTTTTAAAATATGATGGAGCAAATGAAGTTTTTTAAAATTAATATGATCTGAGAAAATTTGATAGATTTTAGTTAAAATTTTTCCATTTCTCGAAAACTTTGTTCAAACGTGCACAAAAAATTAGTTGAGGGCAATTAAACGAAAACAATTTGGAGAATATTTTTACGAAACAATAGTTGAAATATAAAATCACTCCAATTGACAAACATTGAAATATGCGGACGAAATTTGAAGCGGCTTTAAGTAGTAGATCCGGTCAAAGAATCGGGTTTTTTAAACTACTACTACTATAAAGATTTCGAGAGTCAATAATAGATATCAGGTACGATTTTTAAATGTTTAAAGGATAACAAGAAATCCATAAAATAAATTACTTCAACAAGGCGGCTAATCAACGTGGCTCATGGGTCTATTAAACTTGGTTTTAATTATTTTAACTTCAATTCTCTTTCTTCTTCTCTGTTAACTTTCGGTGCTCTAACCGGAAATGTTAACAACTCAAAGGCTACCTGTACATGCAAGAGAACTCGACAACAATTAAAATCATCTCGTACCCTCACTTAGACCGAGAACATATCTAAGATTATAATAAAAAAATTAAAAAAAAAAACAAATTTTACTTTATTGAGGGAGTAAGAAATTCTCTCGTAGAGACTAAAAACAGTTTATGAACTTCTGCTTCGCTTGATTGTGGATTGAAAAGACGATAAAAAATACCGAGGAACATAAATAAATCAAATCGAACGTCATCAAGCGCAAGCAAGAGAGAGTTACGAAGACTTTGGATTTTTTTTTCTTTAATAAAATCTTAAATTTTGTTATAGCAATGTTTCAAAAAGACTCAAAAGAAACACTTTAGGAACTTGTGCTTTGCCTAAACATAGAGTTAAAGGAGATAAAAAATGCCAAAGAAAAAAGAAATAAAATTGAATGTCGTCAAGCGCAAGCAAGAGAGAGAGTGTTAGGAAGACTTTAGATTTCTTTTTTTTTAATAAAATCCTTTAGATCGTGTTTTAAAACTTCCTTAGCTAAGTGATCTTGCTTTACGACATGATTAGTAAAGAGAATAAGAAAAGCAGAGAGAGAGAGAGAAAGAGAAGGATTTTTATATGCATTTTCGGTTGCTTAATATTGTGAAATACTTCTTTTGTCTTGCGAAAGAAAGAAAGAAGAATTTTTACCTTATTTTTTTTTTTTTGTTGTCAACTTTTTCTCATATCATTATCATTTTTTGATTTTGCTTTCAACACTCCGATATATGCGCGTGCGTGTGTGTAGATGTTTTTTTTTTTTTTTTTTTTTAGGGAACAATTAATCCTTAGTTAAATACCTATGTTATGAATCATGATCATTATCATGGCAATAAGTTTTAGCATAGCGAAGCATAGCATAGTTCTTTCCCTACTAACTGCTGTCTCAGCCGAACGCACACACACTTAATGCGTTATGCTTGCTTTGCATATCGCATCAACTCATTTTCATTTGTTTTTTTTTGTTTTTTGCGCTAATATTGCGAAATAGAATGCAATTCCGTTGTAAGGCGTTTATCGTATTTCAAGTAATTTAAGGATTTAATTTTTTTTTTTTTTTTTGTTATTTGAACACTACCATTTTCAAGGTTGACAAGAAATTTTTTATATTTAACTTTCTCTTTGCCCTTTTGCAAACGGGAATACCGTGTTTAGTACCGCAGTATAGGCATAGGCCTATTGAAGTTTTTAAAGCTTTCATTTAAAAACATTTTACTTCCAGAAAATTTATTTTTCGTTCATTAGTGTGTGTGTGCGAATGTGTGTGTGTGTGTGTGTGTTCATTCAAATGCCAATTTTGATAATACCCTTTCCTTCTGGTTTTATCTGTCTTTGCTTCGTGGTGTGATTTGTCTGTTTACTGTACGTATACTACCACTTGAAGGGCTAAAGAAGAGACAAAAGTATTCATTAAAAATCCATCATAGTAATAAAACAAAAGCAAAAAAAAAAAAAAACGAAAAAATGAAAAGTAATAATAATAATAATAATCTAAAAAAATTGCATTTGTAAATAGATATATATATTGTTGTGGTGGTTGTTGTTATTGTTCCAATGTCTTTTATGTTCGCAAATATCCAAAGTTTAAATACTTTATGCCTTAAAGTTGTAAAGTTTTCTTTTTAAGCAAATAGGGTAAGCAAATCTGGAATAAACAAAGCAACTGACAATGAGACCAAACAACTCCACGATTTTGAAGTAATTTCGATAATGGACGATTGATAATAACTGATGAAAAGTGCATTACCTATGAATGCTTACAATTTTACTACAGAGGCAACATTCCCCGACTACATCGAGCCTTTATCTGAGATTCATTTCAGATTAAATTAACAATTAACACTAAGAACTGACTCACAGTCAGAAGGATGTCATAGGCAGGAATTGTCGCCATCGTCTTCAAGTTTGGCGAAAGCATTGCAGATTCTTGCATGCAGGTTGGACTTCAAAAGCAAGGATATACGCCTGCTGAGAAGATTTCCGCTTTTTGGCTTCCATGGGTCGCCGCTTATCAACTATAATAAGCACACGATGTAAATTTTCATGTATGCTCAAGCTAGGCGATAATAACCAGCTACACCCATTGAATATTACAGAGGAAGAGAATATAATTTGTTGTTGTTTACTTGTTAAGGTAAAGAGAATGGGTGAATATAAAAGATTCGAGCACAGCCGAATACAAATTTCTTGCTCATTCCATTTTTGGGGATTGTTTTCTTTGCACATGACTCGAAAGCCCCACCAAATGTAGATTCTGTATAAAATATTTCATCTTTGTATAAAGCTTAGTTAGAAGAGTGTAAACTATGAATAACTCTTTAGCCAAAATAAGCGATATCTTTGGGGCTATGAGCTTGTGAAGTTTATCGTGATACGATTCGTTATTTAAGCATGAGATCCCGTTAAGGTTAAAACAAAGATATTTGGCAGTTATAGAAAGTTCTTCTTCTTCTTCTTCTTCTTCTTTCAATATTCTATTGCTACGCTCTTACTAGGTTAGCGAAGAAGTTTAAACTGTGCTTCCCGTGAACTTTGCTGAATTAATGCGCAGTGTGAGCAACTACAGGCAATTATTCTAT